CAAGCAAATAAAATGTAACAAAGTGGGACTGATAGAGGATTTGTCTTTGGATTGAATGGGGGAGGGGAAAGAAGTTAACGATGACTTGTAGGTGTTTGGGGTTGGTAACTGGAGCTGATGGCCCCATTTCTTGAGAGGGGATGAAGGCAAAAGCACCAGGTTTGGGGTGCTCACGGAGATGCTGAGGTACCCATGGGGAAGCCTAACGGTGAAGTCAGGGGGCAGTTGGGTGGGTAGATACATGAGTCTGGAGATGAGAGAAGACACAAGGGCTGCAGGTACAAATTTGAGAGTTCCCAGCACAGATGGCTTCAAAGATTGGGGGTGGAAAAGATGCCCTTGGGGAAAGTGAGGAAGGAAAGAGTCCAGGCCTGGGTCCTGAGGCTCCATGGTGCCTAGAGATCTAGTAGAGGGACCACAGGGGAGGAAGTTGGAGACGGAGCAGCTGAGGAGGAGGAGGAGGGAAACCAGGAAAGCAAGGAAGGACAGCATTTCAAGGTCAGAGCTGCCCATGCCAATTATTGTCAACAGATCAAACAAATGAAATCACAGAAGTGTTCTTTGGGTGGGAAAGAAGGGTTGCCATTGGCAGGTGTAGTTCAGTGGCATGAAGAAGACAGCAAGACAGAGAGGGGACTTCCCTGGTGGTCCAGTGGTTAAGAACCTGCCTCACAATGCAGGGGACGAGAGTTTGATCCCTAGTTGGAGAACTAAGATCCCACAGGCCGAGTTGTGTGGTACACAACTCGGCCTGTGCACCACAATTAGAGACTGTGCACCACAACAAAAGATCCTGCGTGTCTCAAGGAAGACCTAGCATACCACATCTAAGAACTGACATGGCCAAATTAATTAATTAATTTAAAAATTCACATTAAAAAAGGAGAAGGCAGAGGAGTGGGCTGAAGCATGACTAGAAGATGAAGAATTTAAATATTGGGGTGTTTAATATACACTCATTGGATAAGACCATTCACTCTTTACCTGTCCAGCTTCCTAAGCCTCTCCCAAGTGTACTCACTCCATCCCCATGCCCGCCTCACTCTCAGTTACCATCAAGCCTCACCTGGACATTTCATCCACAGCATCCTAACTGGTACCCAGCCCCTACTTTGCTCCCTTTAAGCCCTTTCCCTATGGGGCCAGAAGAGCCTTCTGAAGACCTTACCTTTGGTCATGTCACTCCTGTGTTTAGACACTTTTGATGGCTACCCATGACCCTGGGATAAAGTCCAAACCACTTGTAAGTTTTTAGGTCATCTGGCTCCTGCCTAGATCTCAGTATCTCTCAGTATTTCTCTGTCTGTCTCTCTTCCCACTTCATCTCTGCTCTTCGATTGTTTTCTTTTACTGTCATCTTGTATTTTCTCTACTGTGCCCTACTCTCTTTGTCCTCCAGGTTCAAGTCTGAAGTCTGAGATTAAACATCATTGCCCTAGAAAGGCTTCCCTTGACCTCTATGAGATCAAGCCCTCTCATCTCCACACTTCTTCTATCATCAGAAATGACATTTCTTTTCTCTTTTCCACCATTAGCGTTAGATAAACTGTTTTCACAATTTATAGCTACATCACAGTCCATGACACTGAGTAGGCACTCAGTAAATATTTCTTTAATAGATTAAGTGAAACCACATTCTCATTTCTAAGGAAATTCTCCACCAGAATTTTCCTGAAATAGGAGAATCTCTTAAAAGACTTTAGAGCCCTTATTTTTAGTAATGTAAGCTAATTTGGGCATTTTAGACAAGGCTTTTTGAAAACAACCGGTCAACAATATCTTAGGAGGTAAGACCTACAGACTCAATTTTTCTAAATCATCACTACTTATAGACTGAATGTAATGCTTTCATTATGGGTTGTTTGTTAATCTGCTTAATAGTAAGTAACCTTTTGGTTGAGAGAGAGGTAAGTTAAATAATCCCTGATTCCATAGAAGCAATTAGTTATACATACATTAATTTGCCTGCTTTCAACTCAGGTACTATTAAAAAAAAATACAAGAGGAGAAGTAGTGGGAGTTTAACAGCCATCTATTCTTTGTGACATTTTCAGAAAGCAAATGAAAATAATCCCTGAAACAAGCCAACTGCAGAGACATTCATTAACTTGATATGCTTTAATTGTGTGAATAGAAGCTGGAGCCGAGTCACTGAATCAAGAACTGCACACTCCCAGCTCTGGATGCCTGCAAGACATCCAGGTATGAGTGTTCTGACTGCAGCTCCGATCAGCACGAACCAATCTGAACTCAGATTTGGACTCGTGAGGGTGCCGTGCAAAACCTACCCAAACCCTGGACTCCCTACCTCTGTGGTGCTCCATGCCTGGCACAAGGCTGCAGGTCTCAGCAGCATCTTCCTGGGCAGGCTCCTTGGCCATTCCCAAAGCTGCTGCATCCTCAGGACTTAACCCTGTGCTATATAGTAGGTCCTTGTTGTTTATCTATTTTATATATCGTTGTTGTTGTTCGGTCACTAAGTCATGTCCAACTCTTTGTGACCTCATGGACTGCAGCATGCCAGGCTTCCCTGTTCATCACCAACTCCTGGAGCTTGCAAACTCGTCCATCAAGTCAGTGATGCCATCCAACATCTCATCCTCTGTCACCCCCTTCTCCTTTTGCCTTCAATCTTTTCCAGCATCATGGTCTTTTCTAATGAGTCAGTTCTTTGTATCAGGTGGCCAAAGTATTGGAGCTTCATATTGGAGCTATATATTTTATATATAGTAATGTGTAACATGTAATTTGAATGCAGAGTTCCAAACAATAGCAAGGAGAGATAAGAAAGCCTTCCCTAGTGATCAGTGCAAAGAAATAGACGAAAACAATGGAATAGAAAAGACTAGAGATCTCTTCAAGAAAATTAGAGATGCCAAGGGAACATTTCATGCTCAATAAAGGACAGAAATGGTATGGACATAACAGAAGCAGAAGGTATTAAGAAGAGGTGGCAAGAATACACAGAAGAACTGTACAAAAAAGGTCTTCATGACCCAGATAATCACAGTGGTGTGATCACTCACCTAGAGCCAGACATCCTGGAATGTGAAGTCAAGTGGGCCTTAGGAAGCATCACTACAAATAAAGCTAGTGGAAGTGATGGAATTCCAGTCGAGCTATTTCAAATCCTAAAAGATGATGCTGTGAAAGTGTTACACTCAATATGCCAGCAAATTTGGAAGACTCAGCAGTGGCCACAGGACTGTAAAAGGTCAATTTTCATTCTAATACCGAAGAAAGGCAATGCCAAAGAATGTTCAAACTACCGCACAATTTCACTCATCTCACATGCTAGCAAAGTAATGCTCAAAATTCTCCAAGCCAGGCTTCAACAATATGTGAACTGTGAACTTCCAGATGTTCAAACTGGTTTTAGAAAAGGCAGAGGAACCAGAAATCAAATTGCCAACATCTGCTGGATAATCAAAAAAGCAAGAGAGTTCCAGAAAAACATCTATTTCTGCTTTATTGCCTATGTCAAAGACTTTGTGTGGATCACAATAAATCATAAAAATTCTTCAAAAGATGGGAATACCAGACCACCTGACCTGCCTCTTGAGAAATCTGTAGGCAGGTCAGGAAGCAACAGTTAGAACTGGACACGGAACAACAGACTGGTTCCAAATAGGAAAAGGAGTACGTCAAGGCTGTATATTGTCACTCTGCTTATTTAACTTATATGTAGAGTACATCATGAGAAACGCTAGGCCGGAGGAAGCACAAGCTGGAATCAAGATTACCAGAAGAAACATCAATAACCTCAGATATTCAGATGACACCAGCCTTATGGTAGAAAGCGAAGAAGAACTAAAGAGCCTCTTGATGAAAGTGAAGGAGGAGAGTGAAAAGTTGGCTTAAAGCTCAACATTCAGAAAACTAGGATCATGGCATCTGATCCCATCACTTCATGGCAAATAGATAGGGAAACAATGGAAACAGTGATAAACTTTATTTTGGGGGGCTCCAAAATCACTGCAGATGGTGACTGCAACCATGAAATTAAAAGACGCTTTCTCCTTGAAAGAAAAGCTATGACCAACCTAGACAGCATATTAAAAAGTAGAGACATTATTTGCCAACAAAGATCTGTCTAGTCAAGGCTATGGTTTTTCCAGTAGTCATGTATGGATATGAGAGTTGGACTATAAAGAAAGCTGAGAGCCGAAGAATTGATGCTTTTGAACCATGGTGTTGGAGAAGACTCTTGAGTCCCTTGGACTGCAAGGAGATCCAACCAGTCCATCCTAAAGGAGATCAGTCCTGAGTATTCATTGGAAGGACTGATGCTGAAGCTGAAACTCCAGTACTTTGGCCACCTGATGCGAAGAGCTGACTCAGTGGAAAAGACCCTGATACTGGGAAAGATTGAAGGCGAGAGGTGAAGGGGATGACAGAGGATAAGATGGTTGGATGGTATCACTGACTCAATGGAGATGAGTTTGGGTAGACTCTGGGAGTTGGTGATGGACAGAGAGGCCTGGCGTGCTGCAGTCCATGGGGTTGCAAAGAGTCAGACACGACTGAGCTACTGAACTGAATGTGTATGGGTTAATCCCAAACTCCTAATTTGTTCCTTCCCTTTCCCCATGTTTGTTTTTTTTTTATGTCTGTGAATCTATTTCTGCTTTGTAAGTAAGTCCATTTGTATCACTATTTTAGATTCCACATATAAGTGATATCATAAACCATGTTGCCCGATAAGGCTGCCCTTCTCTTAACCCAGGGGTCACATGAGCAAAGTGATGCTCAGAGGACCAAAAGTCCTGGTGAGAAAGACATGGGACCAGAAAGGCCCTGTATGAGTCTAGTTTGAAACTTCTACCTATCTAGAGCCAACATCCCTGGGGCCCAGCCAGGTTGCCCTAGGGGATCTACTCCAGCGGTTCCCTCTGCAGCATAGAGACCGCCCTCTGCGCCCCGCCCCTTCGCTTCGACCACGCCCCTCCACCTGGCCCCACCTCTCCGCCGGGACCCTGAGCTTCCCGCCTGGGGACGAGGCGCGCGACCGCAGGGGGCGGGGCCTCGGGGCCGCGCGTGCGCTCGCCGGTCCGCCGTGCGCATGCTCAGTGTTCTCCCGCGCGCTCGCGAGAGAGGATGGCGGGGGCCGCGCCGGGCGCCATCATGGACGAGGACTACTTCGGGAACGCGGCCGAGTGGGGCGACGAGGCGGAAGGCGGCCAGGTGAGGGGGGCACCGGGCGCCCCCGACGAGGGATGTTGGTCCCCGAAGCCGGCTGGCCGCCCCTGCCCCCGCCGCGTGATCCAAGCACAGCCCGCCCCGCCCCCTCCTGCCGCGCGTTTCGCCCGTGCCTCGAGCCCTCCCCTCTTGTTGCCGCCGCGGGGACCCACCGCGCGTCCTCTTGGGGGCGAGGGCGCGGGACGATGACCAGGTACCCGCAGGGACAGGCACGGGCGCCGCCCCCCAGTCGTCACCTGAGCTGACCCTCCGACCACCCTGGGGCGGTCTCAGAGGCGGGTCCTGGGAATTCTTAGCCCCCCGGGCGGGGCGGACGCAAGCTCCAAAGTAGAGGATGGAGCTCAGACAGTTTCAAAAGTAGTCATACTTAAAAAAAAAAAAAATCCAACTCAGCATCAGGAGGAGGGGAAAAGTGCAACTTTGGACTTTCTCACACGTGCTTTACTGTTTGTAAACCACACTCTTGGCGCTCTGGCTGATTCAGTCAGTGCTTGGCCTAAGTAACGACAAAAGGATCGTCCATCCTTGACCTTCAAAATTTTGCTGTGGATGGTGAGGGCGCGGTCACAAGCTTCTCTTCTGAAGTCAGGGTTGCAGGTCCCGAACTGGGCGCTCTCGCTGGGCCAGGGGACCCCAACCTGATTCTGATCCGAAGACCCTCCCGAAGTGATGTTTGAATCCCAGCTTCTCAGGCTCCTCCCCTGGGGACTGGAAAGCAGTTGGTTTAGAGGGCAAGAGGGAGGAACCTGCCTTTTATTTATCTGTTTATTTAATCTTTATTGGAGTATAGTTGCTTCCATGGTGGGTGAGCGGTTAAAGAGTCTGCCTGCCATGCAGGAGATGCAGATTGGATCCCTGGGTCTAGAAGATCCCCTGGAGGTATGGCTACCCACTCCAGTATTCTTGCTTGGGTAGTCCCATGGACAGAGGAGCCTGGGGTCTATAGTCCATGGGGTCAGAAAGAGTCAGACACAACTGAAGTGACTTTTAATGCAGTTTTTTTTTTAAATAGTGTTGTTAGTTTCTAGGGTGGAACCTACCTTTGAACAGGAGTCAAGGTTAGGTGTGTGTGGGACAATCGAAGTTATGTTTGAAGGAAAAAAGCCTGCAGCGGCATGTTCTCCCTTGCAAGAGGCAGGTGGGGCATAGGAAGACATCAAAGCCAGGGTGCAGGGGTGCAAAGGTGGGCACTGTTTTCCAGGACCTGAGAGGAGGCCTGTGTGCTGAGTTATCTGGTGGAAGCAGTGGGCTCTAAAGGGCCTTTGAGAGCTGCTGAAGAGCATGACTTGTTCAAGAGTTGGAGCAGGGAGTGACACTCCAAGATTCAAGTGTTGGCTCATTCCATGGTGTTGGAGGCTTAGAGTGGAAGGATGGAGTCAGATTTAGCTAACTGAAAATCTGGGCTGGTCAGATGCTTTCCTGCATTATCTCATTCCACGGACAAATACTGAGTTGGGTATCACTCTGCTCATTTTGTAAATGAAGAAAGTGAGACGGGAGGACCTGGTCCTGCCCACAGTCAAGAAAGTAGTACATGAAGGAAGGGGATCCCACTACATCCTTTGTCTCCATCACCACTCTAGCAGATGCTGGACCACCGAGGTGACCCAGAAGAGAGACATGTAAGGCATCAGTCAGTTCAATGGTGGGTTGGTGGTTTAAGCATCTTGTTCAAAGTGTCCTAGTATTTGTCACATTACACCTTCCAGTCATAGTGATACACCTGGGGCATGTCTGAGGGCTGTCCAGTCAGTGCCCTCATTTTATAAACTGAGGGCTTATGCTGTTTTGAATAGCAGAGCCAAGCCTAGACCCCACAGACAGGGGCTTGGGAGGCTCACTTTTGGGGAACTTGAAGCACAATCCTGATCTGGCCCTGCTAGGCTCCCACGATGGAGGGGTGGACTAGATGTTCATTTCCCATTCAGTCTAAGCATGACTCTGTGGAGGAGGGAGGGAAAGTCACCCAGTTTGCTGATCCCTGGCTCATCTCTTACCGCACTGTGTAAGGGTCAGTTGCACTGAGGTTGGTCTCTCCTACTAGTTTGTAAACTCCTTCAGCAGAAAAAAACTGTCCGTTGTCTTTCGTTTGCTTAATTTTCCTAGTGACAAGTACAGTGCTCAGTACAGAGTAAATGTTCAAAACGCATCTGCTTGTTGGTATAACAGTGTTAAAGCTGGACAGACCTTGGGGTCATTGAGTCCATCACCTCCACATCCTCATCCTGCTTTGCCCTTGGATTCAGTGACTGGCTAAAGGTAACTTTGGTGCAGAATGGGGACTAGAGTCCAAACAGCAAATGGATGGCTTGTGTGTTCAAGAACCACTTCATCAGTCTTTGTTGGGAAACTTTCTGTGGCACATAAGAGAGAGTAACAGTGAAGACAGTAATCGTAGCTGAAATATGCTGAACTCTTATTGAATGTCAGGTGCTAGGCATCGCTTTTCCAGAAATCAGCTCATGGGATCTCACAGCAACCCAGTGGGCAAGGGCCCTGCTCTTACCTTTGTTCAGGAAAAGAGAGACAGGTACTGGGCGAGGTGTCCTTTGTGAGATGCAGTAACTTCTGTGACCACCGTGCACGCTACGCAAGCATGGGGTCATGCTGCAGGCCCACTTGGTATGATTCTCAATTCCATTCTCTTGGTCATTTGTCACTTGAAAGTCAAATGAAATGATAAATGTGGAACGCTTGACATGGACAGCGTTACATGGGCTTAAGGTGAAATTTCAGGGTGTCGGTGGTAATGAAAAAATAACTTGGCTCTTTCTGCCAACCACAGGAGGATGACTATGGAGAGGGAGAAGATGACGCTGAGGTCCAGCAGGAGTGCCTACATAAATTTTCTACCCGGGATTATATAATGGAGCCCTCTATCTTTAACACTCTAAAGAGGTACGTGAGAAAGTCTGGCTGCGTTGGGAGGAGAAAGTGCATAACAGACCCAGAGATGACATGTAAAGTCAGAGGGACATGATGCACGAGTGGAGGCTTCCAGGGGCCCCCACTTTAAAAGCATGAACAACCCGTCTTCCTCCTCCCTACCCCCCGTGGTTGTCCATCCCCATGCCCTCTGTGTCCATTCGAGTGCCACAGCTTGTCTGTCACTTTTCTAGGTATTTTCAGGCAGGAGGCTCTCCGGAAAATGTTATCCAGCTTTTGTCGGAGAACTACACAGCTGTGGCGCAGACCGTCAACCTGCTGGCCGAGTGGCTCATCCAGACAGGTGCTTTGTGGGGGTGCCTAGGGCCTGCCTGTTCCCCACCCACATCTTTCTAATTGGATCTTTTTTTTAAAACTTTATTTTATATTGGAGTATAGTTGATTAACAATGTTCTGTTGTTTTCAGGTGTATAGCAGATTCAGTTATACCTATACATGTATCTTTTCTTTTTCAAATTTTTTCCCGTTTAGGTTGTTACATAATATTGAGCAGAGTTCCCTGTGCTGTACAGTAGGTCCTTGTTGGTTATCTATTTTAAATATAGCAGTGTGTACATGTTGATCCCAAACTCCCTAACTGTCCCTTCTCCCACCCTTCTCATTCTCTCAAGTCTGTGAGTCTGCTTTGTAAGTAAGTTCATTTGTATCATTTATTTTTAGATTCCCCATATAAGCTATATCATATGATACTTGTCTTTTTCCGACTTAGTTCGCTCAGTAGACAGTCTCTTATCTAGGTCCATCCATGTTGCTGCAAATATGGATCACTATAATGCTGATAAATTGGAAAGCTTTTCTTTGTTTTTCTGGTTTTAAGACTTCTGTAAGTAAGAGGGACTTCCCTGGTGGTCCAGTGGCTAAGATTCCATGCTCCCAGTGCAGAGGACCTGGGTTCAATCCTTGGTCCGGGAACTAGATCCCACATGCCTCAACAAAAGATGTCATGTGCTACAACTAAGACTCAGTGCAACAAATAAATAAATTTAAGTAAGAGATAAAGACTTCTCTAAGTGAGAATTGAACTTCTTACCCATTTTCATCTGCTTGGTTCAGTAATTGAGGTTTGCAGAGAGCTTGCAAGTGTAATTCTCACTGAGTTGTTCCCTGCCATGTTGTAGAATTGGACGGTGTATGTTCAGTGTGTTATTTTTAAGAAGTCTATTATAGCGAGCAGTGGATGATGGGTAATTGAGGACCAGGTATGATTATGGCTTTTAGCTAATATGATCAAAGTAGGGCCTTACTGGAAATCGGCTCCTTTGAGTAGGGATGACATGGTGGGGTAAGTGCTGCCCAGAAGCAAGTCGACTTGCTGCTGTCATGGTGACCACACCGGAGTGCCTCTTGGCCGACAGCGATCTGTTCTGCTGTGGGGGCTGTTCTTCTGTCATCCTCCCTGTCTGTTTTGGCAATCTGTCCTTGTTCCCTGCAAGCCTCAGAAGACGTCACCATGCTTTACACATAAACAAGCATCTGTGTCTGTTTCGCCCTGGTCTCCTTTTGGGGTCTTACCAATATGTTAAATATGTGTAATATTAATTTTAATAAGAAACTCCAAATCCTAAATGGTTAGAAGCAGTTTTGTAATACATGATTTGCACATGGACTTTTGATCTACTTTCTCTAAAGTAACGCGAATTGAGAAGTAGCCATTTTCCATCTCGTTGCTTTCATTCTCTTCCAGGTGTTGAGCCAGTGCAGGTTCAGGAAACTGTGGAAAATCACCTGAAGAGTTTACTGATCAAACATTTTGACCCCCGCAAAGCAGACTCTATCTTTACTGAAGAAGGAGAGGTGAGGAACTTCCCCTTCCTCTACCCCAGCTCCTAGAACACGTTGCTGATTCCACATGTACACCGGCGCCTGGCGTGCTGTCATGAAAGAGTTGGGGGCTGAAGTCAGGCTGGGAGACCCAACTTCTGAATCGCCTGCTAAATGCCCCTGCTTGGGGTGGGAGGGCATATGACCTCACCAGCCCTGGGCCTGCTTCCTCTTGCACAGGACACTGCAGCTGAAGCCAGGAGCCCAGGGGCTCTTCTGTGATTGTTGGCACAACGTAACCTTTACTTAAGCTAGAGCCAGGCTTCTTACCTTGCTGTTTTGTTTGTTTGTTGTCAGACCCCTGCTTGGCTTGAACAAATGATTGCACACACCACTTGGAGAGACCTTTTTTATAAGCTGGCTGAAGCCCACCCAGACTGTTTGATGCTTAACTTCACTGTTAAGGTAGGAAGGATCCTGGAGTCAGAGAAAAGATAAAAGTACTCATGAATGAGGGTTACTTTGAGTTGGTTGGTTGGTGGTCTCTTCCCTCTGAAAAGATCCTGTGTGCTTTTTTGGTAAAGGTCTTCATCGTTTCACTTTAGTAAGTCTTGTTAAATGTTGAGAAAGAAATGCACAGAATGTGTATGTTTTGGGGTCGACATGGACTGTGTTTTAGGGTTTGGCAGTAACACGTTACAGAGCCCAACGTGTTCTGAGAGGAGCCTTTACGAGTGTCTGGTCAGTCTCCTCCGTCTCACAGATTAAGCGTCACGGGTTGGGGGTGGGGAGTTGGCTGGGGCCACCAGCCTAGTTAGTGGTGAAGCGGGCACCCAAGTAAAAGTTTGAGACCCAGAACCAGTGCATGGCCTTCCTCACCCCAAACCCCGCCGTCGGTCACCTTCTTGTGAACCTGTGACTTTGGCTCATGTGTTTGGTTTCTCCTTTCTGTGTTGTAGCTTATTTCCGATGCAGGATACCAAGGGGAGATCACGAGTGTGTCCACAGCCTGCCAGCAGCTGGAGGTGTTTTCTAGAGTGCTCCGTACTTCTCTAGCTACAATTTTGGATGGAGGAGAAGAAAACCTTGAAAAAAATCTCCCTGAGTTTGCAGTAAGTTCTTTACTTTATGTGGCTCAGATTAGAAGGAGGTTATTTGGGGTCATGTGTTTTCAAAAGCAAAATGCTCTTTACTCTGGAGAATGTCTGGGTCAGAGGTCACCTCCCCAGAAGGTGTAGAACTGTTGGCGTCTGACTCCCATCTGCCTTTGCTGTTGCTGTGGTCACAAAGCCCAAACATGCTCTTCTCTCCATTCTGCAGAAGATGGTGTGCCACGGGGAACACACGTACCTGTTTGCGCAGGCCCTGATGTCCGTGCTGGCCCAGGAGGAGCAGGGGGGCTCGGCTGTGCGCAGGATTGCACAAGAGGTTCAGCGCTTCGCCCAGGAGAGGTGAGAGGCGCTGTCTCTGTTCTCTCACCCCCACACCATTGCCCTGTGTCCACAACTGAAGACCCTAGGTCCGCCTGTTTTGATATAACTTCCTCTTACCCGTAGAGTTGGGAAAGAGAGCTTGCATTCTAAAGTCTTGCTTTGATGAGTATTTTGTAAAGGATTTGCTTACAGTTTAATTCACTGTATTTATGAATTTATTTATTCCCAATATGTTGGGATTCATCAGTAGTAAATGACAGTAGACTTGAAACAGTTCTTCAGTGGTCCAGTTGTTAGATTGTGGTTCATCTTTTACAGAACAGAATTATTAGCTTTATTAGCTAATAAAAGTTTATTTTTACTAATTAGCTTTATTTTCTACTCATAGAGTCTTAAGATACTGAAAAGTGCATGGTTCCTTTTAGGAAGCCCGTAAGCTGCACTGGATCCTTCTTTCCCAGTTAGCTCCAAATGTTTTCATGGGTCAGTAGGTAAAAAAATATCAGTGGGTGAGAGAAATTTGAAAAAACAAAGAGACTCCAACAATTCAAAGCATAAATGTGAAAGGCGGGAGGGAGAGAAGGCAGGGGAGGGCCGGGCAGGGAGCCACCTTACCAATGATGGGTTATTGATATTGTTTCATCAAGAGGCCACGACGCCAGTCAGATCACACTGGCTCTGGGCACAGCTGCCTCCTACCCCCGGGCGTGCCAGGCCCTCGGGGCCATGCTGTCCAAGGGAGCCCTGAACCCGGCTGACATCACAGTCCTGTTCAAGATGTTTACGAGCATGGACCCGCCCCCTGTTGAACTCGTGAGTGGCCTTTCATTTTAACCGTAAGGTGGGACACCTTCAATGCCAACTGGAAGTATATTCTTTTGGAACGTTGGTGCTCCTCTTAGTTCTCAGGTTAGGGAGTGCACATGCCTGTTGAAATGTTCCTGTCCTCTCCCTGGTCCGTCCTTATCATGTCCTCGGCCCTCAAGCCCCCTGGCACACTCTCAGTGAAGGACCTGAGCTGGCACTCTTGCGTGGGCTTGTGTGGACTCACCTCCCATCTCGTTCCTGCTTTCGTTTTCACTGAGTTGTGTTTCTTTTCAGATCCGGGTACCCGCCTTCCTAGACCTGTTCATGCAGTCACTCTTTAAACCCGGGGCCAGGATCAACCAGGACCACAAGCACAAGTATATCCACATCTTGGCATATGCAGCGAGCGTGGTGGAGACCTGGAAGAAGGTAGTGTCTGTGCTGAGAGCGCATGGGCTTTCGGGAGACATGAACCTCCTCTGTTTGGTGTTATGTGTGAATTTTGGCTGTAGAGAGTCACAGGCCCAACTAGTGTCTGAAATGTCTTTTCTGGTGTTTCTGCATAAAATAGCCAAAGTGCTAAATGTCTTAAGGAAATGTGCATCGCATCTATGATACTAATTCAAACTGTAATCTGAAGTGTGACTAAAGAAACGAAACTGATTCCCTAAGACACTGAGAGACACAGGTCCCTCTGGTCTGCAGTGTGTGTTCGCTGTGTGACAGGAACACTTGACTTCAGAGACGGGTTTGCAGAGGGAAGGCGGAGGCTGGGTTACCTCGACTGCAGGGACACGGGTGCCATCAGGATTCACCAGCTTGCTGTGTTTTCAGAACAAGCGTGTCAGCATCAATAAAGACGAGTTGAAGTCCACATCAAAAGCTGTTGAGACTGTTCACAACCTGTGTTGCAATGAGAACAAGGGGGCGTCGGAGCTCGTGGCTGAGCTGAGCACCCTCTATCAGTGCATCCGGTGAGCAGATGAAGGTTCTAGATGTAATTCTCTGGAGAGGAGCTGGTTTGAATTTTTATATTAACAACTCAAAATATATCACAAAAGATTCAGAGGTACTTACTCATTTGTTTTCTTTTTTGTAAATATATAGAGAGAACTTTGTTTTAGCAGCATGAGTAATTTTCAGATGTTTACCTGCCATTTACCTGCCAGAAATCTGTTCACAAATTAGACTAAGAAGGAAGATCAATCAGAATTACAAAAAATTGATTAGAAGAAGAGGATCTATTCAGAGTAAAAGTTAGACCAACAGAGTTTTGCCTGGATAGATGTATGTTATGTCAGTTCTATAAGTAAGTGCTCACTAGGAAAGCTTACACACAGGTGTCTTCATAGGCATGTGAATTTTCGTCTGTTCGTTTGTACTAGAGCCTAAGGGCTTGCTTCAACCCACTCCACCAAGTTCTCATAGTGCCGCATTAATGGCCTTCTTCTAAACCAGCAAAGTTGGTCTAAAGTTGGTAGAGCATGGGTTTCGGGTTCTGGCGCCCAAGAGGGTGCTGCTCTCATCAGACTGTTTGTACTCATGGCGTCGCCCTGGCAGTGCACGTCGAAGAGTGAAGTGATAGGCTGGACTGAGTTGTTTGGTTTTGGTGTTTGCATTTGCCTTGTTTGCCGGTAGGTTTCCAGTGGTGGCCATGGGGGTGCTGAAGTGGGTGGACTGGACTGTGTCCGAGCCGAGGTACTTCCAGCTGCAGACCGACCACACCCCGGTGCACCTGGCGCTGCTGGATGAGGTAGGGGCTGCGAGGCTCCTGCGGCAGCTCTGCGTCCTCGCCTCCCACATGTCTGTTCCGTGCCTTCAGAAGACAGTCTTTTCAAAGCTAGTTATTTCTACTCCAAATGAGGAGTTTCCTTTTAAGGAACTAGTTTCGTTGATTCTGTAGACTTCTCAGTTTCTATCAAGTGTTCCTGAGAGGATGAGGAACGGGACAGAAGTTGACTGGCCCTGGGAACCAGTCTTCCGCCACGAGCTGTGTTTGGTGGCGCTTCCCTGAGGCCGATGGGGAGCCCATAGCCGCAGCTGTGCGGCTCAGGGTGGCTCCCTCTGGCCTCTCTGTAGATCAGTACCTGCCATCAGCTCCTGCACCCCCAGGTCCTGCAGCTGCTGGTGAAGCTCTTCGAGACAGAGCACTCACAGCTGGACGTGATGGAGCAGGTGAGTGGCGGCCTGGGGTGAGATGGGCAGTGGGGAGATGGCCATTCTCACACTTGTCGCTCCATACCCGCAGCTCGAGTTGAAGAAGACCCTCCTGGACAGGATGGTGCACCTGCTGAGCCGGGGCTACGTGCTCCCTGTGGTCAGTTACATCCGCAAGTGTCTGGAGAAGCTGGACACTGACATCTCCCTCATTCGCCACTTTGTGACCGAGGTCAGTGCCCTGGCAGCACCCTCTGGGCTTGATGTCACCTTGCACCCAACAGTAGTCACAGTGATGACAGTGGTTTGGATTCTGGTCCTTCAGGCACCTCCTATCCACAGGAGCTGTTAAACCTTTATGTCCCCTGCCCATCTTCATGTTGGAGTTTGGGATGGTCTCCAGGAAGAAGAGGGTGGGAGTAGGGACAGGGGTGGGGGTCCCTCCACGCTGCTGCCATCTGACCAGCTCACAGGCTATGCTCCCCACAGGTACTGGATGTCATCGCGCCCCCCTACACCTCTGACTTTGTGCAGCTTTTCCTCCCCATCCTGGAAAACGATAGCATTGCTGGCACCATTAAAACCGAAGGCGAACATGACCCCGTGACAGAGTTCATAGGTAAGGCTGGCGTGAGCATCCCTGGGCTGCACTTTTGATGTCATTGTTTCCCTATTGTTTCTAACCCAGGTCCCTTCTGTTTGTTACAGCTCACTGCAAGTCTAACTTCATTCTGGTGAACTGACTCAGAGCATCCCCAGAGTGGAGCCGGCCCCTCCGGGAGACCCCTGTGGAATAACCCTGTGCAGAATCCGTTGTTGAAGACGCCCCGTCAGCGTCTTGGAAATGGGCTCTGACGGGAGGAGGTGAAGGACTTGTGTGTAAAGGAAAATGTTAGCAGTGTAAGTGGAAAACTTGGGAATGGGCCCTCTCTAAGTCCAGGTCTGCCCCCTGGATCCCGTCTACAGTGTCACTTCCCCTGGTAGTGGACTAGGCTTCTAAGACCCCTTAGGATGTAGTCAGCTGTCAGACCTGGGGTGGTAGAATTCAGAGACTGAGACACTCAGATGAACTGTTTTCAAAGTTGGCTTTTGTTTTTGCACAAGATCTGATTGGTTAGTTCATATTACTGTGATTACTTTTATTTTCCAAGAACGTATAAAAGCTTTTCTGTGGTGAGAAGGTGTGGATCCCGGTGTCATGTTGTTCTTATGTGTAAATAAAGCATTCAGATTCAGCTCTGGCGTGAAGTGTGCATTTTATTCATCACTTGGGCAACTCAAAATTGCCATCTACCCCCTGTGCGCCCCATTGATTTCAAGGTGACAAAGGAACTGGTGGTGAGTCCGAGCTGTTTCACCTCACAGACCACAGCTGCCAGATCATCTGTTGTGGAGGTCACATCGTTCACTGCCCCTCGGATCCCTCTTCTCCAGGCTGTCCTCGCAGCAGGGAGCCGTCCAGTGCAGGCGCGGAGCTGGCCTCTCCCCGGTTCTCCCCTCTATCAGCCTGTGGCATTTCCACCCGTGTCTCCTCCATGCTCAGGGCCATCACTGGCTGTCACAGACGTGAATATCAACCCCCAGTTCCTTCAAACCACGGCGGCGCCACCCCGATGCCTGTGACGATGGGATCCCCTCTGGTTCCGGCTCTCGCGATCCTTTCTGTAAGAGCTGCTCTGCCTTAAACGATGGGGTCCCCAAACGTGCAGCTCTCCTCGATGGCCAGGTTGTAACGGGCACCCTCCCCACCTTTGTAGGTGCTGGTCACGATCCGCATCCAGCCGTGCTCACCCTGTGAGGAGTGGGACTGTGCATGAGGACTGGGGACCCCCCCCACCCCGCATCTCCTACCTCCCGTCTGCTGTCAAGAGAGCCTCTCCTCCCTCTTCAATCCACCTCGAGCTCAGGGAACCCGCAGTGTCCAAAGTCACCTGCTCAGCTGCCCCTCCCCTTTCCTAAGACTCCTATTCAGATACCGCTTTCGTGAAATATTTAAACTTGGTTAATCCTTAACAAAGGGGTACATGGGTCTGTATACCAAGAACTAATTACTGTAGCTGAAATGTTGACTCTTTGAACCAGATGTTTGGACTACATATTACCACCCCCATTTATAGTCGTTGAATAAAAAATACTGACATTTCAACACTTTGACATAAATCATCTTCCCTGGATTTCATCATAAAGAATTAGTGTCTGAAGCTGAATCATTAATACGAGGTCTCAGAAATGAAAATTCTGGCAGTTGATGTAACTCCCCTGGATTTTTAACCCAACCTGAATAGTGTTTTGAACTTCCCTGGTGGTAGAGCAGATGAGAGCCCACCTTCCAGTGAAGGGGATGCAGGTTCGATCCCTGGTCTGGGAGGATTCCACACGCCAAAAAGCTACTAGTTCTGTGGGCCACAACTACCGAGTCAGCTCTGGAGCCTGGGAGCTACAACTATTGAGCCACACGCCACAACTACTGTGAAGCCCCAGTGCCCAGAACCCGGGTCCCACAGGAAAAGTCACTGCAATGAAGAGGACCCCCTGCTCACTGCAACTAGAGAAAGCCCGTGCAGCAACAGAGACCCAGCACAGCCAAGATTAATTCTTTTTAAAAAAGGTATTTTTGAGGAAACCCCAGTTATTACTTAGGAGACCAGAAAATATGACAAGAGAAAGAATGAGATGGTTGTAAAGGAATAAAGCAACTAAATGGAAACATTTAAAGTAGGGCTCCTCAACCAGGGTCTTCCCCACCCCCATGAGATGTCTGGGGATGCTGTGGTTGTCACAGCTGGGAAACAGAGAAGGAGCATCTGGCATCAAACGGGTAGGGGCCAAAGAGGCTGCTGAACACACTGCAATGCTCAGGACAAGCTCCCCACCACCACCATGTGGTGCAGAAGCCCCCCAACCTCACATCTGGAGCCCGAAGCCCCACTGCTCAGGGCTGCAGTTCTCAGCTACAAACCCCCCAAAACCACCTACGTGAGAGCAGTCCCAGTAGATTCGCCTTACCCATGGTTCGCCCCACGAGTTCCGGACAATCCAGTACTCTGTGCCATCGCTGACACCCCAACCGGCCACGGAGACGATGTGGTTTATGTAGGCTTGCTCGTTGTATTCGGAGTAGATGCCGCCAGTGTAGTTAGACATCTTGTTTGTTGCCATTATGCCACAGCTGAGAGCAAGCAGGGAGAATGTGCACTTTCAGTGGCCACTGTTCACCACGGTTAGGAACAGCTCAGATAACTCACACCTGACGGTTCTGCCCAAACTTCTGTTGTTACTCACCTGGCGTCCCCCCTATGGTTTCTATACCGGCAGCCCCGCAGCATGGGCTATGCCCTGGGACCTTCCCACACACGTGTGCCTCCTTCCCAATAATCCTCCCAGGGGCACATAGACTGTTGAGCTTTACTTTTTGATTAGCTGCTAAGTTGTGTCAGTCTCTTTTGTGACCCTGTGGACTGCAGCCTGCCAGGCTCCTCTGTCCATGGGATTTTCCAGGCAAGAACACTGGAATGGGTTGCCATTTCCTTCTCCAGGGGTTCCTCCCAGCCCAAGGATCAAACCCGTGTCTCCTGCATTGGCAGGCAGGTTCTTTACCACTGAGTCACTGGGAAAGCCCTGAGTTTAATTTTGAGAAAACTCACGTGGCAGTTGTTTCTAGCCTTGCGGGTACAGTTGGCCAGAAGAAAAGGGATGAAAATGACCTGGGTCCCCTCAACCTGAAGCGCCCACTGAGGGCAGGGGTCTCAACTCCATACCTGATGGGGCCATTGGCGTAGATTTCGGCCATCATCTTCTGCCTCCCCGAAAGGGAGCCGTAGTCACCGACCTTCCAGAGGGTGTAGTTCTGGATGACGTGGCAGTCTTTGAATTCAGTGCACGTCCCGCACTGGTTAAACTTGTCACACTCTGGGGACCACACAGAGAGGCAGCGTGAGACCCTTTCCTCGTTAACATGCAAACAAAGCAGTGCGTCCAGACCCCAATCTTCACTTTTCTAGCTGAGTGCTCCATCCACTAGCTAATAAAACAAATCACCTTGCGCTCAGGTGTTTAAATTACTCTCTTCCTTCAGCTATAGGAGTCACCATTCCTTCCCCAGCTCTCAGCAAAAAGACATTAATTAGCACGAAGCAGGCGCTCAAAAGCTCGACTTTTCCTGAAAGCCAGGAGAAAGGCCTTTGCATAAGACTCTATAGCTGAGAATAGAGGGTAATTAAATTCTTAATTTTTAATAATTTTTAGTAATTTCCTTTGATTTCCAAGGGGAGCAGCCTTTATAATAAGATTATATTGTTGGCTAGTGAATAGGTTAACACATCTGGGGGGAAAGTTAGCATTTTCTTCATTTGAGGAGGCATCAAGAATTAGGGTTCAAAACAAAGTGCGGCTGTTAGATCTGGAAGACGCCACACCGTCTCGTGCGTTCTCGCCTCATCCATCCTGCCTCCGGCCCGCAGCCCCACTCTTTACTGCTTTCATGTAACCTATTTCTGCCATAATTTTCATGCCTGTCCAGATTCCTCCCCCCAGGAGAGTAAACTCTTTGAGGATTAAACTGTTGGTTTAATTCACCCCTTGGACACCAAATGCCCAGGACACCCTGAAACATGGTGGATCTGTGGCCACATTTGCTAACACAAAGACAAGACCACTTAACTGCAACCAGGGGCCGACGAGTTCCATCTGGCCCTATTGTTCTAGGTGGGCTCCAGGACCTGGCTGAAGGCAGACACGACCAGTTCTGGGCAGAGCAGGGCCCCAAGACCACCTGGGTCCCCAGTTCTGAGCCCTCACGGGCCCCCCTTCTCCTTTTCACCCTGGGCACCTCTCTCTGAGCCTCTGACCCCTGTGGCATCTACCGCTTCAAAAGACTCACTCAACCAGTCTGGGGGGATGCTTTCTGGCTGGGAGTACGGCCAGGAGGCAAGGCAGGGGCACCCGTGGGCGTGGGATGGCGCCATCAGAAGGCTCAGGGGCGGGAGCACACGTTTTATAGATGGGGTGGGGGGGCGGCAGAAAAGTCCCCTCCCTGGGCCCCTGATCATCCCCATCCTCCCCTTTCCTGTCTCAGAAGGCCTTTTGAGTTGGCCCCAGCTCTGTGCTCTGGTTATGAGGGAGCTCAAACAGGAGACTTAAAACTGCATAGTATGGGTCTGGGGTTTGGACTCTTTCTCTCCTTTGGTTTCCAAGGGGAGCAGGTTGAAAGGAACGTGCCAGCTCCAGGGACTGCAGGCCAGCTTGCGTCCACTGGTCCATGCAGTACCCTCGGCTCAGGGTCGTGACTCAGGCCAGGCCTTCCTGCTGCCTGCCGGCTCTCCCTACCAGGCTCTTGGAAACACTCTTCCCTGGACCCACGTTCCCCTTACAAAGGCTGTGAAGCCACTAAAATGCCAGATCCAAACACCAGGGCCCGGCCTGGCCACAGTGTGCGCAGGCTGGAGAGCCCTGCCCCAAGTCTTTCTCATCAGTCTTCTCAACAAGGACGCCAGGCCCCCACTTCCTGATCCCCCAGCCCCACCCAGGGGGCTCCGTCCCATCCTCCCCCGGGGCCGGCCACAGGACCTGAGAAGCGTGTGGGCCTGGGCTCTGGACCACACCTCCCCTGGGAAGAAGGAGGCGTGCGTGTGCCCATGTGCGTGTGTCTGGGGTGGGGTTGGGGGGGGGCAGCGAGCGGTGCCTACCTTGGTCCTTAGCCTGGTAGTTGTTGCAGGTCTCGTCGGGGATGCCGTGCCGGTGGGCATACTCCCACACCGGCAGGTCGTTACCCCCCTCGCAGGAGCCGGCGTCGCCGCAGTCGATCACGTGCTGCACAGACAGCAGTGTGGACGGCCACGCCCCCTTCCTCTTGATGTTGATCCGGTCTGCGGGGACAGCAGCCACATGGGTCGGCGCCAACTCCCACCACCAACTACCAGGACAGCTTCAGGGGTGTCCTGCCTGAAGGCTGCTACTGACCAGCCCCCTCTAGGGCACTGCAGAGTCCAGACCATGGGGCGGTGGGGTGACCCCTCTCATTCCCCACGCACCTAGGCCCACACACCCCACAGGCAGCTGAGGGTGGCCATGCCCTTTACCCTGCACATGCAGAGTCCTGGGGACCCTACAGCCAGTCCTACCCTAGCCAGCCACCTCACTTGCCACCTCCTGAGATGATGATCCCACAACTACCCACGCTGGCCCACATCTTGAGATCCCACCTCCAAATCAGAACTCCCAAGCCTGTTCTTTCCCTGATTACAGTGAGCAAGCAGCCAGGTCCTCCACCCCTCAGCAGCCCCCTCCAGGCGCTTCCTTCCTGCCCTCCTGCAGTCCCATGCCCCCCTACATCCCTGGGGTCACCTCCCAGGCTCTGGGCCCACAGGGCTCTACATCCGCCCCTGTGACCTGCCCTCAGCCTTCTGGAACCCACAGCCAGTCACCAGCAGTGCCCCAGCCCTTTCCCCAGCGCCTGGACCACACTCCCCCGGGGCTCTACGAAGACACACCTCTACAGAGCCTCAGGTGGCCAACCCCTCCCAACCACAGGTCTCCCCAAGCCCCTTCTCAGCAGCCTCCCACAGCCGTCTGCCCTCAACCCTCACAATCCCTCCCCAGCCTTGCTGACCGTCCAGCTGACATCATTTCACCCATTAACCCTACCCCTCGCTCCGTTGTTAATGGACCATCTCGCTCCCACAGTGCTGGCATAGCATAGCTCCTATGCTGCCTGGCACGTCGTTGGTGCTCAGTAAATAAATGTGTTCAGTCATGTCCAACTTTTTGTGACCTCATGGACTGTAGTCCACCAGGCTCCTCTGTCCACGGGATTCTCCAGGCAAGAATACTGGAGTGGGTTGCCATTTCCTACTCCAGGGGATCTTCCTGACCCAGGGATGGAACCCTTGTGTCTGCGGCACTGGCAGGCGGGTTCTTTACCACTGCGTCACCTGGGAAGCCTGCTCAGTAACTACCAGCTGCCTAAATGAACTCACTGAGGTTTTACTGATTGCAGCCTCACCCTGGCTGCCGGCCCCTGGAAGCCCCCTTGCCATGAACGTGGAGGTTCTCCATCCTGGTCACACACTGGGCAAGGCCTGGAGGTGGGATGAGGGCCCCCTTCGCTCCCACTGCTGTTTTCCAACCAATCTGCACCTGATTCACCCCCAGAGGTTAGCACTTGGCACTTCCTCTTTCAACCCCTCATCCTCCCTGCTCATCCACGGTCGCCTGGTCACCTACTGTGCGCCAGGCCCTGTTCAGTGAGCAAAACAAAGCTCCTACCCTATGAGCTTCATGTGGTCGGGGAGACGGGCCACGCTGCCAGGAAAAGAGAGGAGAGGATGGGGGGTACATACAGACAGTGGGGGGCACACATGGGAGGGGGCAGGGGCCTGGCCTGAGGTCACTGCCCCCCACCCCCCTTCTTCAGCTCTTGACATCCAAGCTGGGTCCCAACACCAAATAAGGAGTCAGCTAACATAGGGGCTGTGGGCAAGTCAGGGTTTTGGGCTAATCTGCCTGAAGTCTTAAAATAGTTTCAAGCAGGACAGAAAGGGGCCCCGGCCTGGGTCGGAGTTGTTTGAAGCCTGAGGCGGGGCAGCAGGGGAGCAGCAGGTGGACTGGTCGGGCAGCTCCAGCAGCAAGGCCAGGGCCCAGTTCCAGCAGAATCCCTGATATACCTTGAAGGGAGAACCCAGCCCTATGGCTTGATTGTCTGAAGGTTAAAAACAGGTGGCCGGCATGCTTCTGGGCTTCGGCCGGAGTGAGGGAAGGAAGGCGTTCTGGAGCGATCAGGAGGCTGGGGAAGAACTGGTTTGGGGGTGAGGGTGGTGGTGGAAAGGAGGAGCAGGTGAGGTTTGAGGTGTCAGGTGTCCAAGTGAGAAGAAGAGCATCAGGCGGACGTGAAGCCCAAGTCCAGATGTAGGGTCCTGGGAACCCAATGTTCAGAAGTTAAGTTGGGAGGATGCAGAGCCAGTAAGAGGGTCCAAAGGGGCCAGGGAGGCAGAGATCAGGGGCCCACTGTGACTGAAAGCCAGGAAAGCACTGGGGTGGGGGGTCACAGATCAAACACAATCAGGCAGGGAAGGCCAGGGGGCGACCACCTGGCCTGCCCATGGCAGCCCCATGATGGAGACCTTGGCAAGGAGCTAGAGGTGCGGCTGGTGGGGTTTGAGGAGGTGAGAGAGGAAGTGGGGGCTGCAGGCACCTCTGAGAGCCCAGAAGTGGAGTGGCAGCTGGAGGTTGAGTGGGGTTCAGCAATGAGCAGGGGTGGGCATTGGCTGGAGCGGCCTTGGCCAAGGGCTCAGATGCTGGACGCCCAGGGATGGGAGCGCAGGCGAACTATGACCAGCTGTGGTAGGTGGCAGCTGGGCCAGCACCCTGGAAGTCCCCTTCTGGAGTCTTCTGTTTTCTCAGTGAAAGAGGAAGAGGATGTCTGCTGCTAGGGAGGACGTCGAGGGTCGGGAGGGGGAAGCCATTGTTTGTCTGCCCAGGAGGGTCCACTCTGGTCAGTGGAGGGTTGACCTCTGCACAGGGAAAGGTCAATGGACCAGACAGCCCTTCCAGGCACCGTGTTCCTTTACAGATGCAAATTTTGGCTTGTGACTCCCTCCTAAGATCCCTCAGGCTTCCGCCAGGCCCCTCCCCTGGGCGCAGGGCCCCTGGTGACCTTCTCAGCTTCCCCATCACACCCTCAGCCCCCGCCACAAAGGTCCTCTCAGTTCCCCTAGGCCAGTGAGCGCCATTCTTGCCACGAGCTTTGGGTTCAAGGCCGGCCACACCCTGCCTGCCTGCCCAACCCAGGCTTCTCCCAGTGGCTCCTTGGTTAAACCTCTGGCTTCACATTCTCCAGGGGCCCTGTCCATCTCCATTCCAATCAGCGGGGGCCTCCCCAGTTAAAAATGGGGCTCAGCCTACCAGTCCCTTCCCTCCTCCATCCTGAAGGGTCAGAAGTACCACCCAGTCCCCAGGAGAGATGGGGCAGGGCCACCATGGAGACCCACCAGGTGCCCCTGCTACAGCGGTGGACCCTGGGGTCCAAATTCCGCTCTCCCACCCCGCTCTTCACCCTCAAGGCAGCCCAGCTTCTGGGCTCAGGTTCTGGCTGTCACTCACGCTCACACAAAGGTCTAGTCTCCTGACCGCTCAGCCAGGAGCCTTGGTTTCCTCTTCTACAAAGCGGGAGCAATCACAGGGCACTCAGGAAGCTTCAATGATACACAGAACGTTGGCCAGCGGTAGTAGCCACACTGTGGTCAGTCTGCCTAGCACAGTGCCTCAGGGCAGGCATTTCAGAGACTCCAGTGTGGAACCCCCGGGTTGCCAGAAGACCCAGGCTGTTGTGAAGTCTGCAACCCACCCTCCCAGGCAGGCCCAGGGGCAGGCGTTTCAGAGACTCCAGTGTGGAACCCCGGGGTTGCCAGAAGACCCAGGCTGAGTGAAGTCTGCAACCCACCCTCCCAGGCAGGCCCAGCAGCCTGCTCAAGCGGTGTGAACCTCTGATGTCCCCTCCTTCCAGGCCTCAAGCCTTCCAGCCCTCCCTGTGGCCAGGCGGCTAAGGTCCAGATGAGAAGAAAGCTGGACTTGCTCAATAGCCCAAGCCCAGGACAAGCATTCATTTCAAATATTAACTACCCTGAAAAGCAGCTTCACGTTCACATGCCCCACTCCAGCAGGCGAGTCTGTGGTGTGGGCCCCGATGGCCCAGGTGACAAGCTTTGAGACAGATAAGGGCCTGGGAGCTGTTTGTCACCAGGCTTCAGTTCCGTGACCGCTGGGCACGCACAAGGCCCCAGATCGGCTCCCCGAGGCCTGACACAGACACCCCCCTCCCCATCCCAGGGTGACTCCCCAGGACCCTGGGCTGCAGCCACCCATGCAGACAGGAAGGCAGCTGGATGGGCCTCGCTGGCCCTTGACCTACCCGCCATGGCGCTGGTGCTGCCATGCGCCCAGCAGGAGCCGCAGTACTGGGGGATGTGCTGGTTTCTGGTGACACTGGCATAGTTGACCCCATTCACGTTGCGCCAGTCCCAGCTCTTGGGGAGATCCGACGGGGACAGGTACTCATGAGGCCGGGGGTACGTCCTGGGAACAGACAGCACCAACAGAATCAGCACTGGGCACCTCTCCCCTCTCCCGGGGTGGGGGTGGGGGGCCCAGACATCCTCCCCAGTGGGAGGGTGAGAGGGAATGGGGGCGACCAATCTCACGCTGGGAGATCCCCGCCCTCTCAGGCTCTGAAGCTGGCAGGGTAACCCCCCGGGTAACCCCCCCACCCCCACCCCCACCTCCAATGCAGGAACCAGACTGCTCCAGCCAGCAACGCCCCAAATGCAGGTCGGCGAGGCTGGCCTGCTTCCAGCACGGGTGAGGCCCGTCCAACCCCGCACAAGTGAAAAAGAGGGCCACCAAAGCCTAGGGGCTGGCCCTGACCCTCAGAGGTCAAAGGAAGCAGGCGCCCTGGTTGCTGTCACACCAAGGAGGCGGCTGAGCGCGCGCAGCCCGGGGAGATGGGCAGGGCCCCCCAGCCGCCCCGACCTGCGCCCCAGCTGGGTGAGCCGGTCCCCCCGCAGAGGCCGGTAGCAGCCGCGGCCCGGGCGGAAGTGGAGGCCGGCCCGCGCCGCGCCCGCCAGCAGCATGAGCAGCAGCAGCAGCGGCGGCACCAGCGGCCCGGACGACGCCATGGCTCCCTCGCCGGTGCGATCGGACCCCGACTCGAATCCTAACTCGGAACTCGCGCCGGTCACCCCTCCGCAGGCTTCCGCCCCGGCCCGCAGGCCCTTAAGGTGTCTGTGCCTGGCGGGACACTCCCCCGGGGCGGGGCGCGCAGCTGCCCCCGGTGACCCGGCCCCGCCCCGCCCGGCCGCCCGGCCCGTCCGGGCTCGGGTCACGCGCCGGGCCTCAGCGGACGCCGCCCGGACCCCGCCACTTGCCTCTTGCCTCTGATCTATCAGACCTCATCCATTCTTAGGGCCCCCCGCCCCCAGCCTTGGCGTCTTGGGACCCTTTGGTCCGGAGAGATGCCCCGGATCCCCGCATCCCGCCTGGGTCCAGCCTCCAGGGATGATGGGCAGGGGTCTCCCCGCAGAATTGTGCCCTACTCTAGCTTCCTGATGGAGGAGGGCATGGCAACCCACTCCAGTATCCTTCCCTGGAGAATCCCATGGACAGAGGAGCTTGGCAGGCTACAGTCCCAGGGGTTGCAAAAGAGTCAGACACGACTGAGCACCTGAGCACCCTAGCTTTCCCTGAGGCCGAGACCCTTTCTGGAGAGACGTTGCCCCTACACAGAGAAGGAAGGCTGAATCCTTCTAGAAAAGGCCCCTCAAGGAAAATCTCACTTGGAACCTGAATCTTCTTTCTCCCTGCCAACTTCCAAAGCTGCCTGGGGATGTTTCTGCTAACAAAGCATTGCATCTTCAAACGATTGAAAGCAGAAGTGTGACCCCAGGGGCCTGGGTTTCGTAACTCAAGAGTTCCCTCCTCCCCCAGCTCCTCGTGACTGGTGGTCACCTGAGCCAACCACAGAATGGCCTCCCTGGTCTTGGGAGAAAAGGGTTCAGGCTTTTTGTCCTACGGTCCAGTGTTGGTATAGGGTCCTCTGATGTGGGGACCCTGTTCTTACCACATGGACACCTCCCCCCCGGCCCCTATCTTTTGCCCTGCTGGCACTAGGCTTGCACACAGAAATCACAGTAGCTGCCCTGCAGACCTCCAGCCATTTCTGTGGCCGCCCTTGGAAGCCCTGAGGTACCCATGGAATCCCCAATCGGGCTTGGTCCCCGCTCCCGAGAGGCTGTCTCTCGACATGTAGACATGGCCTCTATCCACTGAGGTGTCCTTTATCTTCTTGGAAAGCAGGCTCCTTGGTGCTTGCCCCAGCATGTGTCCTGGGCCTGGTCCCAAAGCCTTTCCCTTTCCCCGGGTGCAGAAGGTGTGGGAAGGGAGTTCCCAGCCGGGGTTTCCCCATCCCTCATGTCTCTCCTCCACAGCCAAGGTGAAGCAGCCAATGGGTCCTCCATCCATAGGAGGAAACAAACCAGCGGGGTTGTCCCGGGGTGACCCTGGTGACGTCCACCATCCAGGTGGGGTCTTCCTAAGAGGTGGGTTTTGGGTCTCCTTTAAAGAAAAATATGAGCTTCTCAGGTCGTGCAGTGTTAAAGAAACTGCCTGACAATGCAGAAGACATGGGTCTGATCCCTGACCTAGGAAGATCCCGCATGCCACAGGGCAACTAAGCCCATGAGCTGCAACTACTGAACCTGCGCTCCAGAGCCTGTGCTCCTCAACAAAAGAAGAAGTGAGAAGCTTGTGTGCTGGAGAGTAGCCTCCACTTGCCACAACTAGAGAAAAGACTGAGCTGACACAAAGACCCAGCAGAGGAAAAGATAAATAAATCAACATTTTAAAAAATCATAAAAGCTCATCGTTGCTGAAGAATGACCATAGTGGTCCCCCTATTGTAGGGTGATGAATATTATGGGGACCTCCCAAGTGCCTATAGATGGTCAGGGCCCAAGAGGTGCCACACAGGACACAGATGGCCCGTTGGCCCCACCTCAGGGGAGTGCTATGAGGTCTGGGGCTGCATCCCTGATGCTAGGTGGAAATGTGCCGGGTTATAAGCTCTTCTGTTCCTGCAGTGTTGGGGGACCTGGATGCTCTAAAGGTGTTCTGGGCTTCTCGTAGATGGTCCACACGTATCAGTATTATGATGGTCAGGGCCAGTGTCGTGGGAGTGTGACTCCTGACATCAACAGGGCCCTGAGCACTTGGTGAGATTCTGGTCTGCCAAGGCCCCGCCCCCCCCCCATTTTCATTTTGAGCTGCACATTCTGGAGCTGGGCCTGCCTGATGACACAACTCCGTAGGCCAGGGTCTGTGAAAGGGTCAGAGTGGGGCAGTGGTCACACATTGGGCCCTGCAGAAGGCAGGTTAAAGGGAGGGACGGTGACATTCTCAGGCTGACAGGTGGTGGTGTACCAGGGTTTCCCTGCCCTGGAAGCTATGCAGACTCAGAGGATGATGGGAAAATCTAGCAGGTGGAGCGGGGAGGGAGGCCAGACATTTGAAACCACAACTTTCAAGGCCAGGAGAAGCGAGTGCGTTCTCCTGTGACCCGCTCTGCCTCTTCAGCACCTGTGATGGGTGCACCACATGGCGTCAAGCCTCTGGGCCGTTTCTCCCCACTGAGGTTGGCTCTGGTCCATGGGTATACGTCTGCCTGGCTCCCAGCTCTGAGGGATGAGCTGGCCGCGTCACTTTGGGAGTCCCTGAGGGCTGCGGTCTGTTGAGGGAGGGGCCCTAGCTCTGGCCACTGCTGTGAGGGGAGGGCCTTTGACTCCGGGAGCTCTCTGAAGGTGCACAGATGAAACTCAAAACCTGCTGGGACTGCAGAGAGGAAGGAGTTGCTGGACCTGCTGCCCCGCCCACCCGCTCATCTCTCCCCAGAGCAGGTGCACCTGAGTTGCAGGTTTGGGGACCCTGCGGATGTGAAAGCTCTGTCTCTTCCTGACGCCACCACTGCTCTGCGTGTCTGGAAGGGTGTTTTGTGGGTGATGACTTGTCTTATCTGCCTGGGACAGAAGCTCTGGGAGCCGGCCTGTAACTGAGTAACTGATTTGTCCCTGCCGCTCAGCCGTGCCTGAAGGCAGATACAAAGTCAGTCTAGACAACTCCTGTCTGGGAAAGTCTTCTCTCATTTGATCCTCGGGACAAGCCTGTGAGGTGGGAAATCAGATGCTGTCACCCATTTTACAGATGGGGAGACTGAGGCTCCAGAGAGGATGAGAGACCTGTACTCAGACCGAGGTTCATGGGTGTCGGGTTTGAATCTAGACTGTTTATCTTTTTTATTGCCCCATAAAGTCTCCTGGCAAACACGTGATGCAAGGCCATGACACAAAAGCCTATTTATTTCTAAAAATAAGGTTGACTTGTCCCCTCGTCCTGATAAAGAAATCTCTCCCACTTTACAGCCAGGCTGGGGCCGACCCAGCCTCCCCACTTGCACAAGAACACAGGTGAGTTTTCATTTACTGTGGACTTGCCTCCGAGCCCTCTTCGCCTTCTTGGCTCGTGCCATGCTGCCTACATGACATGAGCAGACACTTCCTATTCTCTCACCTTCCTGGGCTGAGATAGGTCTTAGATACTGCCTTTATCGTGATGGGTGCTGGCGTGTTGGGAGGCATGTCTGGCTCGTGGGCAACATGGGTCCCTCGCCAGCTGCTCCTCTGTCCACACACTCGGTTAGATGTTCACGCTGACCCTATGCCGTGAATGTGGTCCCCAAACGCCATCGCCACCACACCCTCTGCTGGTCACACAGGCTGGCTTGGGAGGGGACTCGCCTCCTGGGGGTCACATTTGTGAGACTGGCCTGTCAGTCTCACCTTCAGAGCACGCCACCCACCATCCACCCGGCAGGTCCCATCAGGCCCACCCAGGAGCCTGCCCTGGAGCCCTTGGAGCGTGGCCTGCCTTGTTCACTGGATCCAGTCTTCTGGGACCCAAAAGGGAACTTGGCAAGCATGCTGAGAATCTAGGATGCGCCATGTTGTTGTCCCAGCCCTGGGGACACAGGAGTGTCAGTCCCTGCCTGCCAGGAGTGGACATTCTGGTAGGCGGCCACATGGAAACAGGAAGAGTGTCCAAGTAGAAAGAGCTGGATCCAAAGACAGGGCCTCTGGGAGTTTGCTCTGGGGTGGTTCTCTTAGCCATCCTGCGAGTTGGGATTGATTGATGAGGATGCAGCCATGGAAAGTGCTGGACTTTTCAAGCATGTGCAAGGACCTTGAAAGGCAGACACTCTAGGTAGGTGTGACCAAGTGGCCTCAGAGATGGCTGGAGAAGAAGGAGGCTGGGCGAGGTCCCTGGGTTGTAAACGCACCTCTCAGCTGCTGCGCTCTGGGATCTAAGGCCAGCTTCCTGCTTCCCAAAGGCCACTGTCTTCAAATGCAGGCTTCCTCCTCCACTGCCAGGTCCCAGCCAGCCCTCCCTTGTCCCTCCCTCCCTGGGGCAGGCCTGTGTCTCCGCCTCCTTTGGCTCCCTCCCTGCTCCCCACTCACCCCAGGGGTTTCCCCATCAATCGGAACAATATATCAGCTTCGGTGAGAGGGTGGTTTTACCCTGGTGGCCGCTAGTTTCCTGGGGAGCAGTGGTGATGTCTTTATGTTCTATGAGCTCCCTCTGGGAGGAAGGATGGAAGGATGGAAGGCTAGGGGGTGGTGGTCAGTTAGAGGCTATTGTGGTCAAGAGCTGCTGCTGGTGGTGGGTTACTGATTTGGCTGGAGCGATGCTGAGATGGGCGGCAGGGCTCGCAGGACCCAGTTATGGACCAGAGGTGAGGAAGAGGCCTGGCTAACGGCTGTCTGGCTGACCTGCCTCTGCACACCTGGAATCATCTTTTTAGAACCACCTCTGGTTCTGCCGTGTCATCCTGGGACACGTGTCAACCCATCAGATCCCTCTCTGAGCTTCAGTCTCTTCCACCAAATGAAAGAACCATCCCCTGACTTCTTGTTGTTCAGTTGCTAAATTGTGTCTGACTGTTTGTGACCCCATGCATGCCAGGCTCCTCTGTCCTTCACTATCTCCAGGAGCTTGCTCAGATTCACGTCCATTGAGTCGGTGATGCCTTCTAACCATCTCATCCTCTGTCCCCCGCTTCCCCTCCTGCCCT